TTTTTTTTGTTTGTTTGTTATTTTTTTTACATAGCATTACATGTGGCATGACTCGAAGCATTATGAAGTGTGAATGACAGCATGTATTAGTTTGTTTTAAGTGGTGTTGGGCACCCTAGTCAGCTGTCCCGGCCAGCATCTGAAGCTCTCCTGGGTGCCTTCATGATGTCATCTGTCTCCTTAGGTCTCCCTGGTACACCTTCCTTCAGGTTTGTTGGCTTCTCAGTCAGTCTGTTCTTCCTTGGACTCATCTCTAAATTGCACTGAGACACTGGGATGTTAGCAGTGTGCTGTTCTTCTCCTCACCCCACTATCTTGTTCAGGGTTCTCTCTGACAGCTTTGGGCTTGAGAGCTTGGAACTCACCCTTTCTTCCTCCCTCCTTGAGTCTCTGCTGCCCTGGCCTTCCCAGCTTCAGCCTCTGTTCTTCTCAAGCCCATTGAGAATGCAATCTAAAATGTACCTTGCAGAGTATTTCCTACTTACCGTTTCTCTTCTGGAGGCAATGGCATGCGGCCTTGGGGAAAGAGTCTGCTTCATTCTGTCCTTTTCTCCTTCATGCCTTACCTGATATAGCCCTCAGCACCCTTCTTGCACTGATAGAAACCCTTATTCTGGGGAGATGCTTCTGTGGCAGAAGTGCTTGCTGGGTAGCACTCACACAAAAGCTGGCCATCGTAGCACTGCCACATGCTGTGACCCCAGCACCAGTGGACAGTGCCAAGGCAGTGAGCTCCAGATTCAGTGAGAGACCGCTTCACACAAGGGAGAGACAGACAGACAGACAGATAGACAGAGACAGCGACCCAGAGAGCAAGCTTTGATCCTCTCAGGCTTGATGCATGTCTGCAGTCTGAGGTGAGTGTGCTGTGTAGAGTTAATGAAGAGGTGCATGCTTATGTTTAGTGAGTGCTGTGGGTGCATTTTCCATTTCTGTTAAAATGTTTTCCCCTTGTTGGAGAATTCCTTCTGTGTCCTTCTTAACTGATTGTAGAAAAGCATTTATTTCCATAGTGGGAATGGGGCATGCCAGCTGTCTATATAAAAAGGCAGCCTTATTCCATGTCTCTGAGCACAGCTAATTGATCCTGTCTGTTTAGCTGTTATGGTGTTAGGACTGAGCTCCAGGTGTTAATCGTGTAAGCTCAAGAGGCTGGGGCTCACGGAGGATGCATCCTTGCAGAGAAGGCTCCAGAGACCACAGCATACTTGGTAGTTGAAGGGTCCAGTGTGTGGCTGTCTAAACTCTAACCTTTAAGCCGTAGGTACATGGAGTAGATCAGAGGAGAGGGGCAATGCCAGTGCGTGTTTCCAAAACCAGTTCAGTGGTTATTTACCTTTCAAGCAATTAACGTAATTACCATTGTGCTGAGAAGTAATTGGGGAAGTTCTGCCCTGAGCTCTGACGGCCCCGCTGGGACAGTTTTAGTTGGGACTTATTTTTTTGATGGAAGCCTAATTGCAGTTTTGGCTTTGTGCACACAAACAGAAGCAGCTAATTGTTTAGGCAAATAGCAGATTAATTTAAATATGCATCCCTAATAAAACAAAAATGGTATCCATTATGGTCCTTGTTCCCATGCCGAGGAATATAAATATTGTGCGCAAGCACCATTAGGCGGAGTTCTTAAAGACTGTCATCACTGTTGCACAGTGGTAGCACTTTCCAGATACGAGTAATCCTTACAAAAGCTAACATAAATCAGCTTAAACTCATTTAGATCCCATTTCTAGTATGTGCAGTTTCATTACCACACTCTGGCTGGCCTCCTTTGGGAGGTGGAGGGACGTGCTGCAGACTGGCATGGGTGCCCATCCACAGCTGCTTAGCAGCCTTTATGTCTCCTCCAAAGCCTGGCCCTCGTCACTCATGTCACTGCTAATGACTTCCTGGTCTAGGGCAAGTGCTGAGTGCCCCTAGCCCGGCTGCTGCTCATCAAGGTGGAGGCACTGAGCAGGGAGCCAGTGGCGCTGCCAGGTCCCACCCCTGCCTACTTGGGGGCCGTTGGCCTCCACTCACTGTCTTCTCTCAGATGGGCTTTGGAAGACAGTGTTTCTTTGTCTACACGCTTTCAAATTTCTGCTGAGTAAGCTGGTTTCATTGTGGTCCAGCACTGCCTAGAATTCAGCATCTTCTCCTCAGCAGCTGTTAAGGTTAGCTCTGTGGAAGGATGCTTGCTGCCTTTGTTATTCTCCTGTGAGACTTGGACTCCAGCTCTTAAAGCTCCAGGCTGCTGCAGGAAATAGGAACAGGTTCCTAAGTTGTAAAATCGCTGCCGGGGGTGGGGGGCTCCGTTTGCCTTTGCTGAGCAATTGTCTTGTTTCACCATGGCCTAAGATGCAGCTGAATGTGAAGGGCGTCTTTTCAGTGCCTCCTCACTCTACAGTCTCTTTCAAGTACATAGAGGGTGGGCAGGCTCAGAGGACTTGAGTTCTGTCTTTTGGCATTGGCTGATCAGACCATGGGTGGGGACCTGTTTGTGGACCCAGGCTCACATTTTGTGTGCTTGGGGGAGAAGCCCTTGTACGATGGAGCTGGCTCCGTTAGAGAAAGCTGAATTGTAGAGACTGGAAGGAAGAAACATTGTAGAGATTAGTGATAAGATCTATGACAGGCACAGGTGGCCTTGGTCCCCAGTGTTGTCTGGGTTGCTGGTTCTGATCCCTTGTCAGTTGGTGTATGACACAGCCTGTGTGACACAGCCTGTGCCTCTCTGGTCAGTTTCGCTTCTGTGGAGCTCCACTGGGGTCTCTTTCTTACAACTGCATGCTTCTTACTGAAGCAGGAAGTGCATGTTGGCCAGGCTCTGCTAATAACACTCTCCCTCTAAACCCACTGTTGGGGGTGTGCAATAGCCTAGCACACAGCCTGCCTCTTTAGATGTCACCCGATGCCAGAAGCCAAGTCCACCTTGTTGCTGGGGCTAATCCACATCAGACTGTGAAACCCTGTACTGTTTGGAGAACGGATTTACTTTGGTTCTAACCACTGTTGCTGCCGTCTCCCTTAAATAGTATCATGGTGAATGTGGGCCAGCTCAACTCAGTTCCATGAAAGGTCAGCTGCTCCTTGCCAGAGGGTGAGGGCAGGCGTGTGTGTGTGTGTGTGTGTGTGTGTGTGTGTGTGTGTGTGTGTGTGT